AAAAAAAAAAAGAAAACTGATAACAACAAAACACCAGAGTAGAGTTAACTCTGCAATATAAATCTCCAAATTTGCCTTATGGTTGTCATGAGTGGGTGGGTATTAGTGTGTATGTACCAGCAATTTGAGTGAATACTTTGAGTGAGTAAAAGAGGAAACATCACATCATCACAGGAAACAGTAAAAGTGCTAGAGTGCATAGACACACTGAGGAAGGAATTTTACATGTAATGACTCAGAAGACAAAGATATCAAGGCAGCTGACGGCTAAAAATGAATTATGTAGCTCTTTAACATCAAAATTCTTCAAATCTGAACATCATTAATGTATTGGAGCTCTGGTATAGAGGCTTTTTGTGAAAATTCTGTTACCATATAAAACGGAAAATGACAATTGTGAATATTAAGGCGAGTGAAAGGTCATATATAGTAAAACCATATTATTTTGTTTTATTATTTTAGAATTTGTAATAAATTGATATAGACTAAAATGACTTCTTCACAGATAATTAGACTCAATAGTGAATATTTAAAATATTTTTTAAAAGGACTTTTTGATCCTTACTGTAGAAATCTCTGTTTTAAAAAAATGAAATTTACAATTGTCATTATGAGTAATTATTACTAAGTAAAACTAGATCGACAAAAGTTCTAATCACTTGCTCTATATATCTATAGAAATAAGAAACTTGAGTCACTTCAAAGTACACAGTAAAACATTTTAATTAATCTAGACTTATCTTTACCTGTTAATTTAAGTTACTGAGTTTTCCCTGAATGTGGCAAGAAATAATAAGCAACATTTCTCCTTATTCCTAAAACATGTGCTGTTTAGCTCTAAAATACTCTATAGTCACTCTTTTTCATTTGTTTCATTATTTCTGCTCATTTCCTAGGATCCATTAAAACTATTTTTAAATTTACCACTTTTCATTTTTAACCATATACATAAAAGAAATCTAGCTAATAAGTAAACTATAGAAATAAATTTTAAGATCAAATTGATTTTATATCATATTAAGGTGAGTGAAAACTTACAATGTATGATTTTTTTTACCTGAGGAGTTGTAGATGTTTGGAAGTTTTCATCCTCCAAATGTTCACTTTTTGATTCTGTGGTGTACATGCTAAGATTTAAAAGAAAAATCCTTTGAAAGAAGAAACAAGACTATAAATCCATATAAAAACAAACATGGTTAAGTGGGATTAATTTTTTAAAGGAAGTTTGTTCTAAAGTCGTATCATCGTCAAATCAGATACCTTTATAGTCAAAACAGATCCAAACATTCATCTTTAACATAATTAACCAAAGCCACAAGCAAAAGTCTTAAAAACCATTATCATACAGAAATGTAACATTTCTCATTAGCTCATAATGCTGGCCTATATCTTAGACGCATATATCAGAAAATGCAGAAATTTACTTAATGCACTGAACTGGTATGTTTGAGCTAGTGTTCACTGTTGATGTAATCTAGCTTCGATCATGCTCCTACATAAAAGAGTCCAGAAAAATTTTAAATGAAATATGATCAACTACTTTAATACCTACAACTATAAGTTACTGATACATACTATCTTTTTACGTGGTCCATTTGAAGGATATGTATGTAGGTAAAACATTTAAACATATCTATAATGTTTTATTTAGAAGAATAAACTAGAATAAAATAATTACTTCTGATAACTTTTATTTTTTTATTTTTTTTTGAACTGATTTATTTTTATTTTTTATTTTTTGAGTACTTCTTATTTTTTTCTGTTTTTTTTCCCTTTTTTATTGCATTTTAAGTTTTGGGGTACATATGAAGAACATGTAAGATTGTTGCATAGGCACACACATGGCAATGTGATTTGCTGCCATCCTCCCTATCACTATATCTGGCATTTCTCCCCATGTTATCCCTCCCAACTCCCCACCCCCACATTCCTCCCATATTTCCTCCCCACAGACCACAGTGTGTGATGCTCCCCTCCCTGTATCCATGTGTTCTTATTGTTCAACACCCACCTATGAGTGAGAACATGCAGTGTTTGATTTTCTGTTCTTGTGTCAGTTTGCTGAGAATGATGGTTACCAGGTTCATCCATGTCCCTACAGGGGACATGAACTCATTGTTCTTTATCGCTGCATAGTATTCTATGGTGTATATGTGCCACATTTTTCCTGTCCAGTCTATCATCGATGGGCATCTGGGTTGGTTCCAAATCTTTGCTATTGTAAATAGTGCTACAATGAACATTCATGTGCACATGTCCTTATAATAGAATGATTTATAATCCTTTGGATATATACTTAGTAATGGGATTGCTGGGTCAAATGCAATTTCTATTTCTAGGTCCTTGAGGAAGCATCGCACTGTCCTCCACAATGGTTGCAACTAATTTACACTCCCACCAACAGTGTAAAAGTGTTCCTATTTCTCCACATCCTCTCCAGCATCTGCTATCTCCAGATTTTTAATGATCGCCATTCTAACTGGCATGAGATGGTATCTCAATGTAGTTTTGATTTGCATTTCTCTAATGACCAGTGATGATGAGAATTTTTTCATATGTTTGTTGGCCTCATGTATGTCTTCTTTTGTAAAGTATCTGTTCATATCCTTTGCCCACTTTTGAATGGGCTTTTTTTCTTGTAAATCTGTTTTAGTTCTTTGTAGATTCTGGATATTAGCCCTTTGTCAGATGGGTACATTGCAAAAATTTTTCCCATTCTGTTGGTTGCCAATTCACTCTAATGACTGTTTCTTTTGCAATGCAGAAGCTGCGGAGTTTGATCAGGTCTCATTTGTCCATTTTGCCTTTTGTTGCCAATGCTTTCGGTGTTTTAGTCATGAAGTCCTTGCCTATGCCTATGTCCTGAATGGTTTTGCTTAGGTTTTCTTCTAGGGTTTTTATGGTGTTAGTTCTTTTGTTTAAGTCCTTAATCCATCTGGAGTGAATTTTAGTGTAAGGTGTCAGGAAGGGGTCCAGTTTCTCTTTTCTGCACATGTCTAGCGAGTTTTCCAAACACTATTTATTAAACAGGGAATCTTTGCCCCATTGCTTGTTTTTGTCAGGTTTGTCAAAGATTGGATGGTTGTAGATGTGTGGTGTTGCCTCCGACACATCTGTTCTGTTCCATTGGTCTATATCTCTGTTTTGGTACGAGTATCATGCTCTTTTGATTACTGTAGCCTTGTAGTATAGTTTGAAGTCAGATAGCGTGATGCCTCTGGCTTCGTTCTTTTTGTTTAGGATTGTCTTGGCTATGCAGGCTCTCTTTTGGTTCCATATGAAGTTTAAGGTGGTTTTTTCCAGTTCTGTGAAGAAGATCATTGGTAGCTGAATGGGGATAGCGTTGAATCTATCAATTACTTTGGGCAGTATGGCCATTTTCATGATATTGATTCTTCCTAACCATATGCATGGAATGTTTCTCCCTGTGTTTGTGTCCTCTCTTATTTCAAAGAGCAGTGGTTTGTAGTTCTCCTTGAAGAGGCACTTTACATTCTTTGTTAGTTGTATTCCTAGGTATTTTATTCTCTTTGTAGCAATTGTGAATGGCAGTTCATTCTTGGTTTCGCTCTCTTTAAGTCTGTTATTGGTGTATAGGAATGTTTGTGATTTTTGCACATTGATTTTAAAGTATCTGTTGTTTCTACCTCCTCTGTAATCTTTGCTAGCTCTGAATGTAAGAAAGGTGACTTTTCTTAAAAATATCTTCTCTCAATTTTTGAGTTGTTAAGAATAAAACTAAATATTTTAAGTTTTAATTTTTAGATAGACTATATTACCATATCCTGTAGCATTTCAAGTATCTATACTTTTCTAAATGGAAAACAATTTTAATAATGAAAATTTTTAGTAAAAAGGAAATGAAAAGGAACATTAACAGTTCAGTAGCTACCATATGCTAGCTGCTTTACAATATTGTCTAATTGTAATGAAGTAAAATATTACTGTGTAAAATCCTATAAAGAATCATAACTAATTTATAACTTTATTAAAGAAAAAAAAAAGCTTAAAATTTTTGATTAAAAACTTGAATCTAAATTCCTTTATAGTGTAATTCCATTTTGATTGAAATGACTGTAAAAATTACTATCCTGTAATTATAATGATGTATTAGTCCATTCCCATGCAGCTATGAAGAAATACCTAAAACTGGGTAATTTATAAATGAAAGAGGTTTAATTGGTTCACAGTCCTATGTGGCTAGGGAGGCCTCAGGAAACTTACAATCATGGTAGAAGGCACCTCTTCATAGGGTGGTAGGAGAGAGAATGAGTGCAAGTAGGGGACATGCCAGACACTTATATAACCATTACATCTTGTGAGACTAACTCACAAGATCCAATTACCTACACCTAACTGGTCTCACCCATGACATGTGGGATTATTATAATTCAAAGTGAGATTTGGGTGGGGACGAAGAAACAAATAATATGATTCCACTCCTGTCCCCTCCCAAATTTCATGTGCTCACATTTCAAAACACAATCATGTCTTTCCAACAGTGCCCCAAAGTCTTAACTCATTACAGCATTAGCTCAAAAGTCCCAGTCCAAGTCCAAAGTCTCATCTGAGACAAGGCAAGTTCCTTCTACCTATTAGCCTGTAAAATCAAAAGCAAGTTAGTAACTTCCTAGATACAATGGGGGTACTGGTAGAAGCTGGCTAAAACAAAGGGGCTACAGACCCCATGCAAATCCTAAATCCAATCATTAAACATTAAAGTTCCAACATGATCTCCTTTGATTCCATGTCTCACATCCAGGTTATGCTGATGCAAGAGGTGGTTCCCATAGCCTTGTGAAGCTCTGCCCTTGGGGCTTTGCAAGGTTACAGTGCCCCTCCCAGGTGATTTCATCAGGGGGCATTGAGGGTCTACTGCTTTTCCAGGCACATAGTGCAAGCTGTCAGTGAATCTACCATTCTGTGACTGGAGGATTGTGGTCCTCTTCCCAAAGCTCCACCAGATAGTGCCCCAGTGGGACTCTGTGTGGGGGCTCCAACACCACATTTTCCCTTGCACTGCTCTAGCAGAGTTCCTCCATGAGGGCTCCACCACTGGACCAAACTTCTGCCTGGGTATCCAGGCACTGCTATACATCCTGTGAAATCTAGGTGGAGGTTTCCAAAGCTCACTTCTTGATGTCTGTGCACCTGTAGGCCCAATATCCCATGTAAGCTGCCAAGGCTTGGAGCTTGCACCCTCTGAAGCAATGTCATGAGCTATACCTTGGCCTCCATCAGACATGGCTGGAGCTGAAGCAGCTGGGGTGCAGGGCATGATGTCTCAAGGCTGCATAGAACAGGGTGTCCCTGGGCTGGCACTACAAAGCCATTTTTCGCTCCTAGATCTCCAGGCCTGTGATGGGAGGGGCTGCCACAAAGGTCTCTGACATGCCCTGGAAACATTTTCCCCATTGACTTGGTGATTAACATTCTACTCCTCATTATTTATGCGAATTTATGCAGCAGGCTTAATTTCTCCTCCCCAGAAAATGTTTTTTCTTCCTATTTCATTATCAATTGTGATCATTAGGCTGCAATTTTCCCAAACTTTTATGGTGTGCTTCCTCTTAAATGCTTTGCAACTTAGGAATTTCTTCTGCTAAATATCCTAAATCATCACTCTCAAGTTCAAAGTCCCACAGATCTCTAGGGTAGGGGCAAAATGCCACCAGGCTCTTTGCTAAAGCATAGCAAGAGTGACCTTTACTCCAGTTTCCAATAAGTCTCTCATCTCCATCTCAGACTACCTCAGCCTAGACTTCATTGTCCATATCAACATCAGCAGTTTGGTCAAAGCCATTCAACAAGTCTCTAGGAAGTTCCAAACCTTCCTACATCTTCCTCTCTTCTGAGCTCTCCAAAATATTCCAACCTCCACTTGTTACCCAGTTCCAAAGTAACTTCCACATTTTTGGGTATCTTTATAGCAGCATCCCATTCTGTTGTGCTAATTTACTATATTAGTCCTTTCTTATACTGCTACAAAGAAATACCCAAGCCTGGGTAATTTATAAAGAAAAGAGGCTTAATTGACTCACAGTTCCACATGGTTGGGGAGGCCTTAGAAAACTTACAATCATGGTGGAGGGCAGCTTTTCACAAGCTGGAAGGACAGAGAATAAGT